ACAGAAAAGATCTGAGGGATCACAACTGGGACAGCCTAAATCAACAACTTTGGCTCATCATCTTTCATCTTAAGAGTCAACATCTAGATTTGATATCAGAAAAATAAGTGTTTGCAGTTCTGTAGCCTCTGTAACAGTGTGTGGAAACCAACTGATCTGTCTTGATTTTGTCTACATACAGCAAAAATAATACTTCGTAGTAGGGGTAAGGGGGAAGAAAAGTAAACACAGCAGAATATAGGTGCCAGGAGAGATATGAAGAGGGAAGCAGAGCTTGTAGACCTGCAAGCTTGCTGCAATAAATCACACGTGTTGGGATGTGAAAACACATATTAATCATTTAAGTGTCATGCCTGAGAAACCAAAACAACACAAATCTCACCAAGCAGAGGGACCCAGCAGCAATGCAATTAAACCTTGATGCAAAGGCACCGGACACTGCAGACCTTCAATGGGGCCAAGGGCTGGCCCAGAGCTCAAGGCAGAACAATGGAAGCCTCAAGCAGAGACTTTGATGACAGATTTCCTCCAATACAAGTATGAAATAGGTGAGCTCTTCTACAAAATCTGTAGGGATTGGTATTGGTTTTGGTTGCCCTTTTTTTTTTTTAATCTGGAGGGGTAAAGAAACTATTTTGTACGCAAATCTAAATTGATGCTTATGAGAGAAAGAGGTTAAGCCTGAAATAATGAAGTATTTCAGTTTTCCTGAATATCTAGGGGAGTCAGTTCCATTCCAGACTGCAAAGAAACACAGATGTCTCTAGCCAAAAGCAAAACCGAGGAGTATGCATGGGCTAGGAGTTAAATAAGTACAGAGTAAGTGTTGGTTTTTACCAGTTCAATAATGACTCGACAGAGCTTCAATTCTGCAAAATGCAGCTACAGTGCTAAGGAAGGAAACCAACAACAAAACCAAACCAACCAGGCAGTGTAAATGAAGTTGTAGATAAGAAAAACCCATCACTGCTCTGTATGTTCCTGCTCTCATAACCTGGAAATACTTTAACGACTACAGTCTGTGGCAAAGGGTATCAGATGACTTGCCTACAGTATCGAGAAAAACAAAAAATTCCTTCAAACCTTCATTTTAACAGCTGGTGGCTTTTATGCTTGTTTAAATACATGTAATCAGACAATATCCACAAGACAGTGGGCATCTGTACTCTGTGTATGGGCTCAACCGCAATGCCCAATTATGAAAGTCTAGCCAGTTTTCCCCTTGGGCTAGACTCCCTGTAAAGCCTCATTTCCATTTATATTATTAGGAGGTACTAAGAAGCATTGTTTAGAATCATTAGCCTTACAAAAAAAGTGTTCAAAATGAACAACTGTTCATACAAGGTTTTGGAGGTGCGAAGGAAATGAGGCATGGGGGGGGGAGGAGGGAATGTGATACTCCCAGAAAACTATGCTTAATATACCTGCAATTTGAAATATTACCCAGCCAAAAAAAAGTGTTTTGTCTTGCTAATGGCTGTGTATCACCTATAGGAAAAAAAAATGCTCTAGTTTTATGATGGCAAAACCTTCAAGGCGTAACTATAGCTTCCATTATCAGTTCTTCGAAGCCAGTACACACCAGAAAGGAAGAACAGATCATAGACTCCCAGCATGGTTTGGGTTGGAAGGGACCTCAAAGCTGATCCAGTCCAACCCCTGCCACGGGCAGGGACACTTCCACCAGCCCAGGCTGCTCAAAGTCCCATCCAACCTGGCCTTGAACACTGCCAGGGAGGGGGCATCCACAGCTTCCCCGGGCAACCTGTGCCAGTGTCTCACCACCCTCACGGTAAAGGATTTCTTCCTTATACCTAATCTAAATCTACCCTTTCAGTTTAAAGCGATACACTCTTGTCCTATCACTCCATGCCCTTGCAAAAAGTCCCTTCCCACCTTCTCTGTGGGACCCCTTCAGAAACTGGAAGGTTGCTCCCTGGAGCCTTCTCTTCTCCAGGCTGAACAACCCCAACTCTCTCAGCCTGTCCCCATAGCAGAGGTGCTCCAGTCCCTTGATCTCTCTGGTCTCCTCTGGACTCGCTCCAACAGCTCCATGTCCTTCTTTTGTTGGGGACTCCAGAACTTAGATACCTACACTTCGAAAATTATTCCCATTTAACATGGACCAGATTCATCCTACCTCTGCTTATTCAAAGACTGAAGGACACATCCATGACCTGTACCCCTCCCGGTCTACTGATGAGCATACACAAGTGCTAGAGAGTCATGGTTTAGGTATTTTGGCCTTTCATTTTCAGATTTGCTTAGGTGACCACAAGGCATCTAAGGATTTTTACATGAGGGATACCACATGAAAACTGGCAGTAATATTTTTCCAATGACAAAAGCTTTCACGTATGCATCTTGCTAAGGGATAAGAAGAAAAGCACAGAGAATCTTTCCAGCTCTGCCTGAAATCACTGACAGAACAAAACTGCAGAAGGGACTGAGCTTCCTTTTCTTAGGGCCTGTTTACTTCCACTGTTTTGTTGGCTGAGTTGAATTTTCATCAGGCAACATTTTTTAAGATATTGCTCAGAGATGCTACTTTTTCCTACTCCTCTCCTCCCAAAGTAAATGACTTGGACACTAGCTTAGGGTTTATAAGGATCAGTATTTCTGTGCAAGGAATGAAAGATAAAGCGTGACACAGAAATAAGGACTGGAAAGAGCTGTGGCATGACAACGTCCCAGAGGATTTTCATCACTGTTACCCACCGCAGTAGAATTTTTGTCCCAGAAGTCTGATATATTGAGCTGTGCTACTGTGAGGCATTAACTCTGAAACTGGCTCTTACAGTTTTCAAATTGAGTAATAACAAAAAGCTTGCATTCATTTTTGCAGAAAAGCATGCGTGGTCACATACTGTCTTCAGAACGGATGTGTTGTTCTTCCTATGTTCTACATAGTCCAGGAACGAAAAAGACTTTTAAAGCTTAGTAAACTACTAAAATGCAGCAATAAGAACCTTATCAGAAAAATAAAATCCTTGAAATTTCCAGAAATGGGGACATAAGACTAGGCTATGTATCAGCAGTTTGCCTCCTGTTTTCAACCCCAAACCATTTATCATGTAACACTTTTCCTGCATTAATTTCAGACCATTATTTCCATCACCAGAAAAAAAAAATCTACCTTATGCTATGCTGCTTCTGTACTTGCCACACATGGCAAGAGGCTGGTCTGCATTACACTAACAGAGGCTTTGCTACTGCTGCTGGTTTAACACGTAAGGAATTCAGCTATAACATGAAGAGCACTAGAAAGCTTTAATTCTACTGTTAAAAGGGCCAGTGCCTAAATATTTAGTGTCATTTCACATCAGATTTAAAGATTATTTCAAGCCTCGTACTGAGTCTCCCCTAAAAGCCATATACCAGCCCCAAAATGCTCAGGTTTGGCTATTAGTGCTTTGTTGTTCATTATCTTATTAAGAATAACTAGTTTTTGCTAGGAAGACTGGACACATTCTTTCCCCTCAATTTAGCATCCTATATGCCAGAATAATTTATTTCTCAGATAAACTGAAGCAGCAAGGGAGTTCAAATCCATCACCAAAGCATCTGGCAGCAAAACCTCGTGGGGATACCTCATAGTGGATGGTATTTTCAATACCTTGGAGTGTCCAGAGCACCTGTGTGGGGCTAGGTATGACAGAGAGACCACACAAGACCTGTGCAACTTTGGGCCAGTGAATAATTAACCTAGGGATCCTAAAACAGCACAATGCTATGTTTGGGTAGGATTGAGGCACCCAAAGAATGAAGATGAGAATGCAGGACAAAATAATTGCTTAAGGTAAGAGACTGCACAAGCGTGCAAAATTCAAAGACCACAAACTGAAAAAATGAGACTACAAAGCATCTAACACCTGCAGAAATACACTTGTGTTGTCACTTAGGCAGTTGTTCTATCACACAATGACTCCTCCTCACCTCGAGAGGGGAATCAGGAAAAGGAAAGGAGACCCATGGGTTGAAACAGAAACAGACTTAATAAATAAAAAGCAGTATTAATAGCAATATTAATATAAAGTGCATAGAGTTATACTCAGCTGATATAGTGGTCGCAAGGTGTGATAACCACAATGAGCAGAGGAATATGCCTCAGAAGTAGAATGATGGCCAAGACCCTCCTGTCACGGCAGCCAGTGAGGAAAGAGGGCCATCCCCAGCAAACTCCCCAATTTATAGTGAGCGTGACATTTATGGTATGGAATAATTTTGTTGGCCAGCTTGGGGTCAGCTGCCCTGGTTTTCACTCCCTGCAGCTTCTGCACCTCACAAACTCGAAACTGCTAAAGACCTTGATCAGTATGGCAACCTACGTACCAGATCTGACCTAAAAATAAAATGAAGTGTCTTATCAACCTTATTCCCACAAAATCAAGTACTGCAGTCTTCTCAGAAATGCATTTCCTGAATAGAAAACTGATTTTGTTGTTCTATCACAGTGAAACCAGGACAACTTGCCTTTCACATTTACTATAGTTTATCTCAGTGGGCTTAAGGAGAATTGGTCAAGCCTCATGCTCAAACAACTGCTGCAAGATAAGCCTACAATAACTTTAGTCTTATAACATAGAAACCAGTCTGCTTTGATTTTTTACACAGACAGCAGAAAGTGAGTCTGGATTCTCCAGAATGCATCAGAGCAGAAGCATCAAGATTTCCCTGGAAGGTTACTACAACCCTTAGTTACTCATTGAAGTAGCTTCCTATTTAGCAACAACAATCAACACGCAACTTGTTTTCGAACAGTCTTCCCCCATCCCTCCCACTCCTGAATGAAGTGCTGTGGGCCCATCCCGTGGATGATGTTAAAAGAACAGAAGAAAACAGAATATTCCAGACATCTTACATGGCCTGTATTTTGGGGAAATCACAGTCTTCACCAGGCATGCTTACCTCTTGTGAAGAGGAACTGCCCGCATATGAAAAACTTTTACAGCTAAATTTTTTGTAGCATGCACCTCTTTAATTATAAAAAAAATACTTACCATCTAACCATTAGCCCAAGCTCCATGAAGTTTTTCAGGTTAGGAAGAGTTTGCCTTAGATCCGGAGTACTCAGCCCATGTTGATATCTAAGCTACAAGAACAGAAAAAACTAAAATTAGCACCACTTTCCAAAGCCCAGTTTCCAATGAATATAACATTATGGTCAGTTAATTTATTGGGTTTTCAAAGAAAGTGAACGATAATCAAGGAGTTCCAAGACATCTATTCCCCTTAAGGAAATGTTCCATTTAATACTCATAACCTTGTGTTAGCAAAACCCACCCAAGAACAGGGACAAAATAAATCAGTCAACTCGGCTATGAAAACTCATTACACTTTTTCCATTTCCTACCTGTAACAGGAGAGCTGCCACACAGCTTAATAAAAACAGAGCCATTGAGTGAACAGACCAAATTTCAGCACACCCTTCTACATTCACTGATTCAAAACGTGTATTTGTGCACAAGTGTCATGTAACCCTGAGTGTATCAACGTATGCTCGAATCAGTAGTGGGATTATTACAGTAAAATCAACTAGTAAAGTAAAAATCCATACTGTCACACAATTAAACCTCACACAGTTTACATCAACATTTAAACTGCTGCTCTTATTCTTATAATTAAACCCAGCACTCAAATACCATGGAGCTAAGAGAAAGGCTTCAAACACTGACTTACTTTAGCCCAAGAATTAACTCCTATATGGGTGCAAACATGAATGAAAAGATTCAATACACTGACTCCATCAAATGAAGTACACAACATGACTGCCACTGCTGGTAATTGTAAGCTATTTATTTAAGAAGTTCCCAAACTAAAAATACCTCTGAAAAAAAGAGCACATGGATAGGAAAAAGTATTTCAAGTTTGAATCTCAGAACTTCAGGGAAACTTTGTAGGAAAAATTTAACTCATATGTGGTTAAAATATGAAAAAAAAAATCCCTAAATTCCAGTATCTTTAAGACTATTGGAACGAAGCAGTATCAACCTGAGATGCAGCTCTCAGCAGATACTAAATCCTCTAGAAGTCACAGCTGGCCTCCAATATACAGATACAGTCCCTGCCGAAATTTGATACTTACAGAGATACTTGCTAAAACATGGAACAATTCCACTCAAAGTTCAATTATTTTTTTTAGAATTACACATGTGTTTCAATAATTCATGAAAGCAGGGTATAGAAAAAGGTTAGAAAGAATTCTGACTTCTCCCAAACTATGGGCCACATTTTCACAGAAAAGACTCTTGAATTTGGGAATTATTTCTATCCACGTCCGAGTTTTAAAAAGAAAAATTGCTTTGGAAGAAAATCATCCTCGGTACTGCTTGTACAACAGGAGGCCATTTATTACAGTTTATTATTTCCATATGGACACAGCCAAGTCATATGGTGGGCTTGGATTCATGTTTTCTGCTACAATGACAGAACGTGGATTAAGATAACCATACAATATAAATTACAAAACGATCACCACATTCTCCTGATGGGATTACAGTGGATTTGGTTAACCAAAGAACTAGCCTCGGGCAAAAGAAATAAAAAAAAGAAAACAAAATCAAAACAATTACATTTGTTCTTCCTACTACAATCAAATGTTCATAGAATACCTCTTTTTACAGTCATCCTTAAATTCTAAGGTTTCAGAGCATGAAAAGAATTGGATTAAGGGATCTATGTCCAGCAGCCAAGGTCAGAGGAATGCACGCGAAATTCTTGTACCGAAACATGAGCAAAACCAGTTTCTGCTAAAACACAATTTCATATTGCAAACAGGAGAGATACATAGTAAGTAAAGTTAACATGCAAGTTTTGTGAAGCCTTTAGAAAAAAATTATGATTTAACTTTTAGAAACTGCATTCTATTTCGGCTTTGTAACAGCTTAAAAACAAAGCACTATTACCATATGTGTCTGTATCGATACAAGCTCACAATAATGAAGTTACAAAACAAATCTACAAAAGTAATCCCAGAAACTACTGAAAAACTCATGTGCCTTCTAAGGACAGAAAAAAAATAAAATAAAAAAACATCAAAAGAAAATCTGTTGAAGCATCGGAACCATGAGTTGCTTCCCAGGTTTTAGTCCTGTTCCAAAATTACCTCCCCATTAATGCAACAAGGTTAACTCCTACTTCACAGTGATCTGTAGTAGTCTCACACACCCCAAAAAAGAAATCTACCTTTACTGAGTAGAGATTCCACTACATGTATAGCACGCAGTAAACAGGAGCAGGGAGGAAGAAAAAATGTGATTTCTCTTTTACTTAAAAAAGCAGAACTCCTCTTCCTCCTACTCTTACCCTCTGCCATTGCTGCATCATTAGTAAAGACTTCCTTTTTTTTCCCCAAAGGGTAAAGTATTTCTTATACACCTTTCCTTAACCTTAATATTTTTAACAGCCGATTTTTAAGAGCCACATCCACAGACAGTTACTCCACCTCATCCAATAAACAGTAAGCCACTAAGCAACAGTAACAGCACCATTGCCTGTGAGCTGTTACAGCAGGATTCATAGAAGCACCCTTTAACATCAAAATCAAATTTAAAAAGAGAAAAATATAGTGAGAAGTCAGCTGCTTTGTCAATGAGCATTAGAAGGAATTAAAGATAGAGCTCAATGTTATGGAAGATGTAAAAAGAAAAAAGGCAGGAAGGAGGGCAGTGAAACATGATGTCTGGGAAGGAAAACAAAAGCAGAAAGAGGTGACCGTGTGCTGTCTTGGTTCTGAGTTCACATTTCAACAGTTCAAGCATCACCCATGTCTACCCACCTCACACTAAGTTTCCAAAGGAAATGCAAAAGCAGCATTTTATTTAAAGATGAGATTGTTCCTTCAGGATATTACAGACCCGGCCATCCAAAGAAAACGTGCCTGGTTTAATTTGAGTGAACAAGTGTCCAAGATTTGTGTTCACATTTATGACTGTGTATTCTCCATGGGACTGTGAGCAAATCATTAATGATGTTCAAGTAATAAAATATTAATTGCCATTTCCATACAAATATTTAGCTCATATATAGAACACAGTTTTCCCAAGTGCAGTGTGAAATGTTACTGATTGAATAAAAACACATAGTAAATGTGAATTGGGAAACAAATAAGCTAAAAACATCAGACACCTCAGACAGGAGCCTGCTCTCATAGTAGTTACCAGCAACTCTTAGTCCACAGAAACAAGATGTAGCAGATTAGATACACCAAATTTTATGAATAGTTCAAGACAGAAGAACTTAAGGGTACTGACAATTAAGGAAAAAAGAAATCTCACTTTGTAATTTCTTTCAATTACACAGATTAATTCCTTTGACTCATCTCAAGGAGGTTTCAACAATTTACTCTCCTTTGTTACACCGGCTTCTATGTTAAACTGACATCATTCAAAGTTATTTAACTAGGTGCAAAGGAGTGGCTACTCAAATGTAACTAAAAAAGGACATATTCATGTTTTTACAAGATTTTAGAGAACTCTAGATTCATCCAATTTGATTCCTTTCTCAGAAGACTTGTACCCCAAATTTCGGACACTACAAGAATCTCAGCATTACAAAAAGACTTTGTGAAAAGGACAGGCAGTATTTATAACTGTCAGTAGGCAACTGTCTAGACTGATTTTGTAAAATCTGGGGGGTTTTTATTTGTCCTAAGATAATTTCAGAAAATACCTGTACAGACAATTCTGAAGAAAAAGGAGGTCAAATTTATATTAAGGTCAAGTTTACCTCTATAAAAGACAAGCCTGTCACACTAGTGGGTATTTTATATTATACTTGCTATTTATTCCAACATCACAGAAAGCCATAAATGTTGATGTAAGCTGCACTTAAATGGTTCTCAGAGTGAAAGGTATTTTATTCTTAAAATTTGTATTAGCTTGCTAACAAAATGTTTAAACACTTAATTCCAACAAAGACAAAGAAAATTGTTCCAGTGACACATCCACAGTTTCAGCCATAGGTGAGGAGGCATGACAAACAAATTAAAGTTAACTCGTAACAAGTCGGGCATAATTGGTTTAGAGTCTCTAGGAAGAGGTTAAAAACAAATTAAAGTATTCAGTTGCTCCAGTTTCTACCTGTATTTCCTTCTGTGCAACCATTTCAGCTTCTACTGGAAGGACGTTGTCTGTCCTCAGCAGTGAATCAGCTCCTTCCTGAGCATCTCTAAACCCCTCCTGCCATCCAAGCAGCTCCCAGGTAATGTATTTTATCAACCAGACAAGTATATTTAACTAAAATCATGTCAGACAACATAAAAGGTCACCACCTTCCTAAAGGTAATAATTTCACAATAAAACATTCATTCACCAAATCATGACACATGTAGCTACCTCATTTGTTAACTAATTAAAATACAAACCTGCAAAGTTCAGTTAGTCTCCTAGAACATTAGCAGCACTAGAAGTATTAAAGTTTTTCAAATAAGTCGGCTTTAAAAGAAACCAATTAGCTATCTTTCTATTTCTGGGTAGTATCAAATTGCACCCAAGATCAAAATTAGGGCTTTTACCACTAAGAGGCTGCCTCTTCAGAAAAATAACGATATCCTGCATTTTCATGCAAAGAAGAATAGTCCATTTCCTTTACTAATTCCTGCAACAGTGTTCAATGACTGATGGTATACAAGGATATACATTTACTTCCAGCCAGAAACCACAGAGTACCTGGACTGGAATATCCTTTTTTGGGAGCACAGAATGACTCCAACTCTGAACTCATCTGTTCATCATTTACCATACTGTTTCCTCAGCCATATCCATCTTGTCCTAAGACATGTGGAAGCAGTTTTACAACTCAGATGATGTTAATAAAGTTCAAAATTCCAGCCACTTTGGTACATGCTATGCATAATACTCGAGACTACACTGAAACCTCCAGCATTTTTGTGCTTCCTTTAGTCTCTGCTGCAGGCAACTGGTCCTTGATGTTACATCACTGTCCGTACCTATACAAGAGGTGGACTTAACCCACTACTATACTATGCAAGCTCACATACTGTTAAGGCAGTGAAGAGCAATTTCGAATTCTTTTCAGTTCAATAAGGAGATTTTCTTGATAGCATCAAGCATTTGAAAGAGGCCATCTGCT